CCGGTCAGTCCCGGTCCGGCCCGCAGCGCTCCGAGCCGTGGCTCACCCGGTGCGCGTCGTCGGCCAGTTTGGCCAGCACGGTGGCGAACTCTTCGAAGGTCAGCTCCTTGTCCCGGTTCAGGTCCGTCTCCTCGAAAAGGCGCTTCAGGTACCCGGGTTGGTTCCGGTCCTAAAAACGGGGACGGGGCAGCGGTCACTCGGTGGCCGGAGGGGACAGGGAGACACCCCAGAGGGGACACGGGAACACCCAGAGGGGACACGGAGCTCACTCAGAGTGGACACGGAGCCCCCCAGAGTGGACATGGAGCTCTGGACACGGAGCTCACTCGGAGTGGACACGGAGCTCCTCCAAAGGTGGACAGAGAGCGCCCCCGAGTGGACACGGAGCTCACCCCAAAGTGGACACGGAGCTCTGGACACGGAGCCATTCCCAGAGTGGACATGGAGCCACTCCGAGTGGACACGGAGCTCATTTGGAATGGACACGGAGCTCTGGACACGGAGCTCATCCAAACCTCAAAGTGGACACGGAGCTCACCCGAAAGTGGACAGAGAGCGCCCCCGAGTGGACACAGTGCTCACAACAGAGTGGACACAGAGCTCACCCCAAAGTGGACACGGAACCCTGGACACAGAGTTCACCCGGAGTGGACACGGAGCCATTCCCAGAGTGGACACGGAGCTCTGGACACGGAGCTCACTCGGAGTGGACACGGAGACCCCCAGAGTGGAGAGAGAGCGCCCCCGAGTGGACACAGAGCTCACCCCAAAGTGGACACGGAACTCTCCCCAGAGTGGCCATGGAGCCCTCCGGAGTGGACAGAGAGCGCCCCCGAGTGGACACGGAGTTCCCTCAAAGGTGGACACAAATTTCCCCCGGAGTGGACACGGAGCTCTGGACACGGAGCTCACTCGGAATGGACACAAAGTTCACCCGGAGTGGACACAGAGCTCACTCGGAGTGGACACAGAGCCCTCCAAGAGCCCCCCCAAAGTGGACACGGAGCCATTCCCAGAGTGGACACGGAGCTCACCCGAAAGTGGACACAGAGCCCCGCAGAGTGGACACGGAGCCCCCCAGAGTGGACACGGAGCTCACTCAGAGTGGACACGGAGCTCACTCAGAGTGGACACGGAGCTCCTCCAAAGGTGGACAGAGAGCGCCCCCGAGTGGACACAGAGCTCACTCAGAGTGGACACAGAGAACCCCAGCGTGGACAGAGAGCGCCCCCGAGTGGACACGGAGTTCCCTCAAGGATGGACACAAAGTTCCCCCGGAGTGGACGTGGAGCTCACCCAAACCCCAGAGTGGACACGGAGCCACCCAGAGTGGACAGAGAGCGCCCTCGAGTGGACACGGAGCTCACCCCAAAGTGGACACGGAGCTCACCCCAAAGTGGACACAGAGCCCTCCAGAGTGGACACGGAGCTCTGGACACGGAGCTCACTCGGAGTGGACACGGAGCGCCCCAAAGTGGACAGAGAGCGCCCCCGAGTGGACACAGAGAACCCCAAAGTGGACACGGAGCTCCCCAGAGTGGACACGGACCCTTCCCCACCCTGGACAGCCCCAGGACACCCCTCCCCTCCCCTCCTCCTTTCCCCCTCCTTTAACCCCAAATCAAACCCCAGAGGAGCCGGGATTTTATCCCAAACCCCAACAGGAAGACCCCAAAAACCTCTCCAAACCCCCTTTTTTCCCCCTTTTCCCCCTCCCCTCGCCCCCAGACTCACGCAGACGCTCAGGAAGGACGGCGCCTGTTCCCGCAGCAGCGTTTCGAACTCGGCGAGGCTGAGCCGGTCCAGGTGGTCCCGGCGAGCGCTGTGCTGGTGGAACAGATCCACCAGGGTGTGGAGAGCGCGCTCCAGGCTGCAGCGGGCGGGCAGGGAGCTGGACATGGCTGTGGGGACAGTGGGGACAGCAGAGTCACCCTTGGGTCACCCTGGGGTCACTCTGGGGACACAGCGGGGTCACCCTGGGGACACACCAGGATCAAACTGGGATCACACCAAGATCACCCTGGTGTCACCGTGAGATCACCCTGGGGTCACCCTGGGGACACACCAGCCCGGGGCTGGGGACAGGGTGCTGCTGGACATGGCTATGGGGACAATGGGGACAGCAGGGTCACACCAGGATCAAACTGGGATAAAACCCGAGATCATACTGGGATCAAATTGGGATCACACCAAAATCACCCTGGGATCACTTTGTGGTCACCCTGGGGTGGGTGTGGGTGATGCTGGACATGGCTATGGGGACAATGGGGACACAGTGGGGTCACTCTGGGGTCACACCGGGGTCACTCTGGGGTCAAACTGGGATCAAACCAGGACCAAACTGGGATAAAACTGGGATCACACCGGAATAAAACCGGGATATGAATGGGATCAATCTGGGATCACACTGGGGTCAAACTGGGATCAAATTGGGATCTGAATGGGATCAAACTGGGATAAAACTGGGATCACACCAGGATCAAACCGGGATCAAACCAGGGTCAAACTGGGATCAAACCAGGATAAAACCGGGATAAAACTGGAATAAAACCAGGATCAAATTGGGATCAAACCGGGATAAAACCGGGATCACAATGGGATCAAATTTGGATCAAACCAGGATAAAACAGGGATCAAACTGCGATAAAACTGGGATCAAACCAGGATCAAACTGGGATCAAATTTGGATCAAACCAGGATAAAGCCAGGATAAAACAGGGATCAAATTGGGATAAAACTGGGATCAACCCGGGATCAAATTGGGATCAAACTGGGATCAAACCGGGATCACAATGGGATCAAATTTGGATCAAATTGGGATCAAATTGGGATCAAACCAGGACAAAACCGGGATCAAACCAGGATCAAACTGGGATCACACCCAAAATCCCCTTTTTTTCCCCCAAAATCCCCATTTTTTCCCCCAAATCCCCATTTTTTTCCCCAAAATCCCCACCCGGCCGTGCTCACCTTCTCTCGGAGGATTCCCGGGGATCGTCGGTGCCGCCGGGAGCTCTGCCCGACCCTTTTATCCCAAACCGGCCCCATTTCCTCACCCGAACCCGGGAATTGTCACCACCCATGGGTGTCACCCCTCGGTCACCCCCGAGCCACGCCCGGCGGGAGCGGCCCAAATTCGGGACTTTTGCAACGATGCCAAAAAAAAAAATTTGCATTTCCTTGTGATGATTCCAAAAATTCGGGAGTTTTGCAACGATGCCAAGGAAAAAAATTTGCATTTCCTTGTGATGATTCCAAAAATTTGGGAGTTTTGCAACGACGACGCCAAGAAAAATTTGTATTTTCTTCGTGATGATGCCAAATTTTTGGGAGTTTTGCAAAGATACGACGACAGATTTGCATTTTCCTCGCGATGCCAAAAATTCGGGAATTTTGCAACGCCGCCGCCATGAGAAATTTGCATTTGATTCCAAATTTTTGGGAGTTTTGCAACGACGTGATGAGAAATTTGTATTTTCTTTGTGATGATTCCAAATTTTTGGGAGTTTTGCAATGACACCAAGAAAAAAATTGCATTTTCCTCGTGATTATTCCAATTTTTTGGGAGTTTTGCAACGCCACCGCTATGAGAAATTTGTATTTTCTTCGTGATGATGCCAAAAATTTGGGAGTTTTGCAATGATTTGATGAGAGATTTGCATTTGATTCCAAATTTTTGGGAGTTTTGCAACAATGCCAAGAAAAAAATTTGCATTTTCCTCGTGATGCCAAATTTTTGGGAGTTTTGCAACGATGCCACAAAAAATTTTGACGTTTTCCTTCTGATTTAGAATCAAATTGGGCTTTTCCACACAAAATCCGGGATCATTTTCTCCCTGGATGTGTTTTTAGTGGGATTTTTTTTTCCCCACAACTCCGGCTGAATTTTATATTCAACTCCGCAGAATTTTATTTTTTTTTTCCTTTTAATCCCATTTTTACCCCATTTCTCACAATTTCTCCCAATATTTTCCATTATTTCCATTTAGATTTTGTCTCAGAGATTTTCCAGAGGAAACCGAGCACAAAACGGGGGAAAAATCCCAAAAAATCAGGTTTTTTTCTGGGAACCGCCCCAGTTTTGCAATTGTCCCCATTGTCACCCCGTGTCTCTTTTGGGGACAATGGGACAATGGGACAATGGAAGGTTCCGGATCAGACAATGGCACGAGGAAGAGGAAATTCGGGGATGTTCCCGTGGGGCGTTGGAGGGTTTGGTTCCCGGATCCCTGAGTCACCCCAAAAGTTGCTGCTTTGGTTTCCCGGTTCTGATCGGTGACACCCATCCCAAAAAAAAAAACCCGAATTGCTCCATGTCACCCATCCCAAATCACCCATCCCAAAAAAACCTAAATTGTTCCGTGTCACCCATCCCATAAAAACCTGAATTGCTCCATGTCAGTCATTCAAAAAAATCCGAATTGTTCTGTGTCACCCATCCCAAATCACCCATCCCAAAAAAATCCGAATTGTTCCATGTCAGCCATCCAAAAAAAAAATCCGAATTGCTCCATGTCACTCATTCAAAAAAATCCGAATTGCTCAGTGTCACCCATCCCAAAAAAACTGAATGTCATCCTCGTGTCACCCATCCCAAAACCCGAATTGTTCCATGTCACCCATCCCAAATCACCCATCCCAAAAAAACCCAAATTGCTCCGTGTCACCCATCCCAAAACCCAAATCTGTCCTCTTGTCTCCCACCCCAAATCGCTCAGTGTCACCCACCCCAAAACCCAAATCTCATCCTCGTGTCGTTCACCCCAAAATCTGAATAGCTCCATTTCATTCATCGCAAAACCCAAATCTCAACATCGTGTCACCCATCCCAAGACCCAAATCTGTCCTCGTGTCACCCATCCCAAGACCCAAATCTGTCCTCGTGTCACCCATCCCAAAACTCGAATTGCTCCATGTTACCCATCCCAAAAAAACCTGACTGTCATCCTCGCGTCACCCATCCCAAAACCCGAACCTGTCTTCGTGTCACTCATCCCAAATCTCTCTGTGTCACCCACCCCAAAACCCAAATTTCATCCTCGTGTCACCCATCCCAAATTGGCCATCCCAAAACCTGAATCTCATCCACGTGTCACCCATCCCAAATCGCTCTGTTACCGATCCCAAATCACCCACCCCAAAACCCAAATTTCATCCTCATGTCACTCATCCCAAAACCCAAATTTCATCCTTGTGTCACCCATCCCAAATCTCTCTGTGTCACTGATCCCAAATCATCCACCCCAAAACCCGAATTACTCAGTGTCACTGACCCCAAATCGTTCTGTGTCACCCACCCCAGAACCCAAATCTCATCCTCGTGTCACCCATCTTAAATCTCTCCATGTCACTGATCCCCAAACCCAAATCACTCCATGTCATCCATCCCAAAACCCAAATCTCATCCTCGTGTCACCCATCCCAAATCTCTCTGTGTCACTGATCCCAAATCACTCCTTGTCACCCACCCCAAAACCCGAATCACTCAGTGTCACTGATCCTAAATCACCCACCCCAAAACCCGAATCTCATCCTCGTGTCACTGATCCCAAAACTCAAATTGCTCCGTGTCACTGATCCCAAATCCCATCCTCCTTCCCCACCTGGCAGGGAGAGCGTCTGGTGCAGCCTCTTTCCCAATTCTCCCATTTTTTCCCCCAAAGTCTGTGGGTTTTACCCTCAAACTCTCCCGAGTGACCGAGTGACCACCCCAAACCCTGCTGTGAGTGACCCCAATGACGGCACTGGGGTCTGAGTGGGATCAAACTGGGATCAAATTGGGGTCACACTGGGATCAAACTGGACATCCACGGACACCCCCGGACACCCTCAAACCGCCCCGGACACCTCTGGCCACTCCTGGACATCCACGGACACCCCCGGACACGGAACACGGACGGGTTTGGTGCTCAAAATCAGAAATTTTATTTCACGAAGCGGGAGAAGGTGACCCAAGCTCGGTGTTGGGGACACTCTGGGGACACTCTGGGGACACTTCAGACTCAGTGACGGTGGCCATGGCCATGGCTGTGGTCACCCTGGGGACACCACCGTGGTCACCCTGGGGACACCCTGGGGACACCCTGGGGACACCTCCACCTCAATGACGGTGGCCATGGCTGTGGTCACCACCGTGGTCATCATGGGGACACCTCCACATCAGTGACGGTGACCATGACCATGACCATGACCATGACCGTGGTCACTCCCGTGGTCACCCCCATGGTCACCCCCATGGTCACCCCCGTGGTCACCCCCGTGGTCACCATGGGGACACCTTGGGGACACCTCCACCTCAATGACGGTGGCCATGACCATGACCATGACCATGACCATGACCATGACCGTGGCCGTGGCTGTGGTCACCCCCGTGGTCACCCCCATGGTCACCCCCATGGTCACCCCCATGGTCACCGCCGTGGTCACTCCCATGGTCACCTTGGGGACACCTCCACCTCAATGACGGTGGCCATGACCATGACCATGACCGTGACCATGACCATGACCGTGACCATGACCATGACCGTGGTCACCCCCATGGTCACCGCCGTGGTCACCCCCGTGGTCACTCCCGTGGTCACCGCGGTGGGAGCGGTTGTGGGCGTCGATGGCCACGCGGCTCAGCGTGGTCAGGAATTCGGTGAATTTGAGGCGCCCGTCGCGGTTGGCGTCGGCTTTGGCGAACAACTGCCCGATGTAGGCGTCCGTGCTGGTGTTGGGCTGCGGGGACAGCGTGGGGACAG